ACCGTAAGATGAGTTCCTCACGCTTGCCATTTTCACTTGGGAGGTTGTACCACTCATGGTCTAGGAAAGTATTGACCAAGCCACAGATCCATTGCCTTTTTGAGTGCCTTCGTTATTATTGCTTCATATGCGATCGGTCCATTTTCGCAGCAAGCGGCAACCCCATACGCTTGCCAGCTGACAACGTCCGAAGCTTCCAAGATATCATATACGACGTGGGTCTCGTGGGTTGACCACGAGGCAGATAATAGTTTGAGTTCAGACTTGAAGGGTACTGCATTTAATGGTCTGCTCTTCGAGCCAGAGGAGACTTCTCTGGGGCATCTCTTTCAATGCCCTTCTGGGAATTGCACTTTTGACTCAGCTGCTGGGGTCACTCATACGTCAGTCGGGGTCTGTAGTCAATGCAGTGACGCAACGCCTGACTTGAAATCATCGGAAGTGGGAAACGCCACTGCATACTACTTTAACCCTAGAAGCGGTTTCAATCTCACATGGCCCCCAAAGAACAAGTCCATTTTTAGAATGATGTCACGGCCTGATTTGAACGGAATGGGTACCAGAACCTCTGTCATTACATTCCAAGCTTCGAAATGCCCTCAAAACAACATCAGTCACGTTGGCCAAGACGGAAAGACTTGTCAAAAAAAAGCATTCGGGGCCGGATACGGCCGCATTGATCAGGACGTTCATATATTGGCAATCAACTGCACTTTTGCCCCCTGTGTTCGAGGTTATAGTGCAGTAGTTACCAACGGCGTCCTGAAGGAAACCCTCGTGTCTGAAGTCTCAAGCTCAAATTTGGACCCTACAATGGTAGAGGAAAAGACTGGATTTTGGGGTTTCAGTACTATGATAGAACCTTGTCTGGTCAAAAGCGGCTGGTACGACCATTCCAATATCAGCCAAGCTCCGAGAGAAGGCGAATGGACTGCATGGATAAAAGGTGGTTTGAAAAAAACCGAAGGAAACAGATTTGAAGCACCGAAGGAATGCCTACGAACTATGTTCGCTCCGATGATATACAGTTTGCAGGCATACATCGAAGAAACCCTTGCTGGTAACTGCTCTGTGAGCATAAATAATATCCCGGACACGACTGAAGGAGGATTTATGGGCCACGGCCGCACAAAAGAACAAATACGAATGAGCTGCGGTGGGAGATGGTGGCTCGATTATTTGCTCGATAACGGACGCTTGACACTCAAGTCTTTCTCCAACTCACACGGTGCAATGGCGACAGCTATTAGCAATCGCGTGCGCAGGAACATCCACCCGGAAGACGGCGAGATCTCATGGGTCGAAGGATCTGCCTGGATAACGGCGGTATGCATTCACGCCGATTGGTTGTGGCTCATCTACCCTGCTGTTCTGTTATTCCTCACCGCATCCCTCCTGGTAGTGACGTGCGTACAGACCTGGCAAGATAGAGCCAAGCAGCCGATCTGGAAATCATCTATTTTGCCGCTGCTCTTTTACGATATTCGACAAGCAGGACAAGGCGAAATACAGGGAGTTATGACTGAGACAACGCCACTTCTACAACTCAAAGGATTAGAATCACTCGCGGATAAGACGTTGGTGCGATTCAGCACAAACATTGACCACCCTGGTTTTGTCAGGAAACAACGTCAATGTGACTGAACGTGGATCAGAATAAAAAGTAGATAGGAGTTGAACAGCATGCCTATTAAGTCAACTGGCGGAGAGTTGAATATAGATAGTTAAGACTTATATTCATGCAAACCAACTTTCTATGTAACGTATCGGAAGCGCGCCCTGTTCGCCTCACGATCTTCCTCGGAAATACCAACCACCTGGGCTTGCGACTCTCCCTTCATAACCTCGGCAACATCGGCACCTGAGTCAAGCTTCTTGTTGGCGCGCTGAAGAATGATGCGCATTGCCAGAGCCAAGATGATTGTGCCGAGAGCAAATGCAGAGTTGACCGACATGGCCAACACGTAGCGTGGCTTGTCCGTATCTGGGTACAAATATGATGTCCACACCTATTATAAAACGTTAACTCATCAATCCCAAAACTCATAAGGGAAGTATCTTACCTGCGAAATGTTTCCAAACGCATTCACAAAAGCCACAGCTGCCGCTCGTTTGATCCTAGGTCTCAACATTGTCTTCTGCGCCCAAGCAAGCACAACAGCATTCGCTCCATGGCCGCCTCCTACCATGAGCATCATGGCGAAGTACCGCGGCCCGACCCGGAGTGTCGATGCAGCCACAACGAACCCTATGATTGCCAGAGCAAGCGGCCACATGACGTGAAATGACGAGTTGTTCAGCCGGTCGGCAGACCAATTGTTCACGACAGAGATGATCAGCCCGAGGATGCATGGCGGCGCGGTCAGCAACAAAGTAACAACGCGATTGTACCCCAGCGTCTGCACCACAGACGGGAAGAAGTTGGATGTGGCAGCAGCAACTTGCAGGCAGAAGAACATGGCCGCAAAGATGTACACTCTCCAGTCCTTGAAGGCGAGCTTGAAGCCGTTACTCCACGCCTCCTCATCCTCGTCGACTTGGCCTGCGTCCTGGATCAAGCGCCACTCGGCAACAGCGCGCTCGGTGGGGGATAGCCAGCGGGTTGTGGACGGCCAGTCTGGGAGTATGAAGATGGAGCAGAGCGCCACGAAGATGGTGATGGAGCCCTCGATGAGGAAGAGCCAACGCCATGACTCGAGCCCACGAGCACCCTCAAGACCGTCCTTGATACCTGCTCCAATGAGGCCACTAAATGCACTGCCGAGTTGTGTTGCTGAGAAGAGAATGGCACTGCGGAGGCCCATTTCGGAGCGGCGGTACCAGGAGGAGATAAGGAAGAGAGCGCCGGCTGCATATTACCATACTCGTCAGCAAAACTTCTGCACATCATGGGAAATCTGGAGTATTAGACTTACGGTAGAACGCAGCCTCGGCGAATCCGAGGAAGAATCGCAGCGCATAGAGACCGGCCGCGTTATGTGCAATTCCAGTCAATGTCGACAAGAGACCCCACATTGCCATGCATGCCGGCAGGTAGATTGAGGGTCGGAGATTGGCCAAGAATACGTTCGATGGGATTTGCATGAGAACGTAGCCGACGAAGAGGATGGCAACGGCAGTTGCGTATTGGTTAGCTGAGAGGTGGAGGGTTTCGGCCATGCCGGCGACTTTGGCGGCGGCGATATTGTTCTACAGCATTGAAACATCCAGTTAGCCTCGAAAGTGTCTCTATGTTCACCCGACCAAGGTGGTTGTTTGGGGTGTCCGAGGTAAGTTGCAGGAAGACAAGAAGACCAACTTACACGATCCAGGTAGTTAAGGACGAAGATCAACCACACACAGGCAAGCAACCTGAGATCCAGCTTCTTCTTGAGCTTCTTTTCAGCTGCTTCGAACTCTTCCTTGGACATGAGTTGTGCAGGAGCCAGGCGATTTTGGCCATGAGCCTCCTTGGTTTCGATCATGTCAACAGTCCCGTCGACTTGGGTCTCAGCAACCTTTTCTGGATCCATGGCTGTGGTTGTTTGCACGAACAAGAGTGAAAGGATAGTGTTCGTCCTCGGGAACGTGCTTTTCATAGCCCATTGAGGAAGTCTGGTTTCTTATACAAGTCTCTAGCACTCGACAGAGTCCTTCTTCCAGACAAGGATGAAAACCCCTGATTCATGAATCTCCGCAAACTAACAACGCGCTACCCCATTACCCCGACTTCCGCGCGGTCTTCAGGTGGGCATCTCCCCCGTCACTCCGCAGATTCAGTGGTAACTTCAAGCTACCCCGCATGGGGTTCACTCCGGGTTGGCTCCGGGGCTGGCTCAAGTCCCACTATCAAAGCCGACGCCGTGGGGAAAGGTTCGACTGCAATCTCGGGGTAAACCCGAGCAAGGGTAGAAATTACATGATCTTATTTGCACTTACGGGGCCCTCTAAGGAATTTTGAACACGGGACTCGGTTCAGAAACGACTTGTCAAACCTAAGATAGCGGGCGTTGTATGGAGTTTGGTTTACGCTGGGCTTCGAATGAGTGGACGCTATCGATAGGGTTCTCAAAGCATTGAACCACACGCCGGAAGCAAAACTACTGCGATTGATATGCAGATTGCACATTAAATGGCCTAATTGAGGTAGATGTCAAGACTTATGAACGCCGAGATACTTGGCCATCGGCTACAGCGTCCGGTATCTTCGAGTCTTGGTCTCTGTATCCGTACGTTCAAGAACGAGTAGAGCATCGAAGCAAAATCGCCTCTTAGCTAGCATCAGCTTGTCCACCAACAACCGCTATTCACGAGGACCTTTATGGCGTCAGGTAGCGCTATTACATTCCCAATCCGGGGTTGGGTGCGTGACCTCGTTATATGCTGGAGTTCTCCGGAATGCATGTGTTGGCTCGGACTCTTCCGGATCAGAGCTGCTCAGGCTTGGTCTGGTCAGTCACTACTTACGGCAATGTTTGATCGAGGTCGGAATAATCGGATACCTGAAAGAAATAACGTAACCGTAACCCATGCCGGCGAAAGTGACTGCATGAGGAATTGGGAGAGCTGTCTACGCTATCAGGATGGCGTTGAGTCTCCGAAGGCCGCCTTGGGATGGTGCTTTGGTCTCGGAGGTATGCCGATGCGAGGTTCTCGCACTCCTCCACCTTGGTCCAGCTTCCTTCAGAGCATCGATTGTTCATCTCAAGACCTCACGTCCCTCAACTGAAATTAAGCATACTTCAAGGACATGGTTACGTTGTTCATCTAGTGGCTCATTCACAGCACTAAGCGAACTACGTTTCACCTATGCCGTCTATTTTGACTACATGTCAAACATCTTCATCGCATTATCTGTCATAAAGTCCATCGGACGTTTGGCAGATTCATTCACTCGCGCGAGGCTAACAGTCCAATTCACACCGGACGAACAGGAATTTATTCCACGGCCATATCATATCCTTGTGTATCGAGCACCTTTCGCTAGCAGTCATCCTGTGAAGCGGGAACTAAGCCCGACTTCATTCCAAAGGCTTGGTCGCACTGGCAAACACAGCAGTCCTCTCGGTCTCGAACGGCTTTCCCCCGTACTTCTTGTTGAGATACTCAATGATGGTCGCAGTTAACTTCGGTCGCAACTTTTCCTTCTGCTCCTTGGACCAGTACCTCTCCGTGACACCCAACTCAAGGCCCTGCAACACGGCGCAGAACTGCTCTGGGGTCTCAAACGTAATATTCTTCGTAACGGTCTTGGCTTCAGCATCGACGAAGCCGGCCGCATTGTACATGGCGCATGTAAAGTACTCGTCCTCCCATGCACCCGGCGACCAGATCCGGGTGAGCTGGTGGGACTCCTGAGGCCATGGCACGGGCTTCTGGCCAGGCAGCCTGAGGTCTGCGACCGCTTCGCGAGTGGCAGGGACCCAGCCCTCGTATGCCCAGGTAGATGTAGCGATTCGGCCACCAGGCTTAAGAACGCGTTGTAATTCTGAAAAGGGCCGTTAGTGCGTTGACATGCTGTGACGTCTTCATCGAGTCTCACCAGAGAGCCCGGTGTACGGATCAGCGACGACCATCAGTGCCATTCCGACGACAATGTAGTCGAAACTGTTGGACGGAAAGGGAAGACACTATTGGCAGTTTCAGTTCCGAGCTCCGCCCGGGTAAAGTGCACGTGTACAAGTAGTTGAGAAGAGGCTGAAGCATTATGCACCTCCACTTACTGCAATGTCCGCATGAACGGTTTTGGCATCGACCCAGCCATCCACCTTGATCCTCTCTCTGACGTATTGAAGTTGAGCCTCGCTTGAGTCAGAGCAAGTTAGTCTCACAACGCCGTCTTTCTCTCTTCCTTGTTCCTTGATCATCGCTTGGATGTGCGCGGAAACTACTCCAGCTCCGCAACACATGTCCAAAACCTCGACTGGTTTTTGGAGAGATGCAATCTTTTCGCCGGTGAGCCCACAATGCTCTAGAAGAGGCGGGGTGACTGGAGCCGTGATATACTCCGTGTTTCTGTATATATTGCCAACGTCGGTCCTTCGCCAGAGACTTGTGTGGTTGGCTCTGTCTGCCGGTGGATTGATGCCGGCAGGGTTGAGAAATAGCTTGGACTGTCCAGGGGCGTTAGGCCCAGCTGCCGAGTAATATTCCATGCTGAATATGGTGTGAGATTGCTTCTTAATAGCACGTTGGAATTGTTTTCAAATGTCTTGGCTTTGAGGGCCACACGCATGACCTGGCTGCTTGGCGTAGACAGCAAGCTAGATATGGAGCATTTATACTCGTATTACAGTTAACCTCCCCGTAATGGCTCTCAATTTCAAGGCGAAGTCTATCTGCGAGAGCGAAGTCATTGTATCAAGCCGTTACTGGGTTCAACAAGCAAGAAAATGGTCAACTAGCCAGATCAGTACCATGTACAAGGAACAGTCGGCCGTATTCGGTAACCACGAGGCTGCACAAGCTTCGCCCAGCCCGTGCCCTAATAGACTGGCAGCGTAAGATTATAGTTTAACGTATGTAGGGGTTGTGCGTTAAGGCTACTGGTAACCCACCATCTCTACATGTGCTTTCGTCTGAAGACTCAGAAGACCCGAGCCCAAACTACATCAACCACTAGCATTCGTACCATTACATCGCCAAGAAAAGGATGTCAGTTCTGTTGACCCAATCGGGGAGGTGCCTTACCGGTGTAATCATCGCAAGTCGCCGTTTGAACTGTTGTATTATTGGCCGTTGGGGACCGGCCGTCTCTCGGTAATGTACTCGCTAGCAGAGAAGCGTGACGGTGAAAGCGGCTGAAGAACTATTAGAGAAAGCTGCTTCAAAATGGGCATCCTAGCTAAGTGTAAGCAGGCTTTCGGCGTGCCTATTTGCATACTGGCGTTGTTTTAGGGACCACGAATGACTTCGTGCATTCCTTTGGCGACATCTTGCCTTCGTATGGGATCCGTGCGAAGCAATCGCTTTTCCAGACAAGGGGCAGAGCTTGGTTTGGTAGAAGGGGGGATATTGATGTCAATCATCATGCTAGAAATCCCCCGAAACGCTGCTAGAGGTGGGCTCGGTCCCCGGTGTGCCCTACGCGCGGTCTGCTTACCGCCATACGGCACACGCGGTGAGGTCAAACTCAAAAGTCCCGTCACACGCAGTGTCTATTCCCGCCAGTATTCGAGGAATTAACACCAGGATTTTGTCCTGTCATTACAAGACTGGACTGAGCTGGTGCCAGCCCAGCCCCGTCGCCAAATGAACGTCCAACCTTCGGCTGAAACAAAACTCTCGTGCCGGAGTCACCCGCTCGTTTGTTTCTGTCCGTGTAAAATTGAATACCATGCTCCACTATGGCGAATACTGGTATTCTCAAAATGCCCACAGGCCCTCAAGTCGGAGCCGATCAATTTGAGTTACCAAGGCGGCTTCGGAGTCGTTATCGATAGTTGAAGCTAATCTAATTTTACCCCTGCCTCTTCCCACACGCTAAATCTTGAGGTTGAACACCGCCCATGGTGTGTGATAAGACACAAACCTTGCTTTTCCCCGGGGCAAAGGCCCGTATGCCCTGGAAAGCGATCGTCGTCAGTACATCTAGGATAAGATTGCCCTGCCGAGACTCCGGCCATGCAACCGTACCTTGAACAGTGATGTCTACCTCAAACCTGCATTTCTGTCATTACCTTATGAGCTTGCGTCAAACTTGATGGCGCATATGCTTTGCATAGCCTTCAAACAGCACACCACTTTTACCGATGCAGAACGAGGGTCAGAATAGAGTAGAAAGGGGTTTCTATTCTGTCGGCGGCCCGCGGCATCGGGAAATATTAATAATCTCCGAACACGTGCCGTAGTCTGGGAAAGCATGTTTTCTCAGGAACGGCACGACAAATCATGAAATTGTGCGGAAAATCAAGTTGCCACAACTTCTCTAGTTAATTTAATTTTGGCAACATGTCCCAAAACAGTCATCATGAGCACTTTCTTGGCGGCGGTCCTCCGACGAGCTTTCCTTCATTCTGAGACTAGACGATAGAGACACTGAAAGACGGGCTGGCTGATTCTTAATGTTATAACGTTTTCGTAGTCAGGATTAGTTCAGCTGAAAAGGTCCCCGAAGCATATTATCAAATGAGGAGTGATAGCCGACGGGATTGCCGCGTGGTGCGGAGTTGAGAAGTCCGTGATTGCCGGCCCTTCACTCTACTGTTTGCACAGATCTGCTGGCTAAAACTCCCAAACAGAGACGACAATGTCCAAAAAGATTGCCTTCAGCCCGAGGCCGTGTCTTTGACCCCTCTCAGGCAGATAATTGCCTCGGGAATGTCCTGGATGAGCATCGGTGGCCGAGGACCGTTTGTGAATCCTCCCGCTTCTCTGTCTTCGCCTGTGGGATGTTGACGTTGAGGCACAACCAAAACTCGCAGATCTCTCGCCATCTTGTGAGTGTGCCTCACCCTTTCGGCTTGCTTCCACAGTGACAAATACTTCAAGACTCCGTCTTGTTGTCCGAGGAAGGTTGTCTACTCAAACCCACGAGGTAAATAGATCTTAAACTAAGTGGGAGTGTATGAAAGCGCCAATCTTCTTCCTATGAAATGGATATCTACGACGGCGGGAGATCGACTATGCAGGTGAGCGTATCAGGAGAGCAATTCGGGACGTTCATCGGGTGTACCTGGCAACCACAAGGGTACCATCTCACGCCTTTTGGTTGCTGTCCCTACCTCCCTGTCACCTTCTCGCCAGCGATATTTTAACCGGTGCTATCTCACGCGTGACGTAAATAGTCGCTTTCATGTTACTATCGAATTTGTTGACGAGCTGATCACTAATTCGGTGTGATTCTATTCTTTGTATGGCCAAGGCAGCGTTACCAGGTTTTGCGTAGATGTCTTCATTTCGTCGTGTTTCCGCAAGATATCAGCTTCAGTTTTCTGTAAGTTCAAGGCTGGCTTGTTTCGTTCGTTCTCGCGTCGTCCAAAATACGTCACCAACTATCATCCCACTTCACAGTCAAACGGGTCGAGGCAGACATCCCGGAAATAGGCATCTGAATACTGCAGATCCATGCAAATTCCCAGATATCCGGGTCACCCAAGCTACATCCCGAAGATAATGATATAATTGGCCAGGCTCATCGAAACACCGCAGCCGTCCAGACTCACGGACTCAAGCCCGAAGACATCAGTCGGATGCCAGAGGGATGGCCGGTGACACACGGCCTCGGAGGCAGAGAAAAGCGGCCGGCCGGCAGATAAGTTACAAAATACACCGAAGCAGCCAAAAAAGTCCTCGTGGGACGGACTAGTCCAGCTGTGTGTCTTGGAGGACAAATTTTGCTGAAATCGCAGCCTTTTCTTCCCGCAGCGCAAGGGAGTTTTGAAAAGCGACTGAGCCAATTAAGCTACCAAATCAGTCGCGCTGCAAGATGCGACCGGAGCCTGGAACGGGTAAACCGCAAATTATGTAGAGCGCAACAGCGGTATCCCACTTCCCAGGCAAAGTTTATTTGCAGATCGTGTTCATCGGACTTCTCGGCCGCCAGGGATTTTTAGAGTTAAATGTGAGGAGAAAAAGCCAGCCAATGGTATTTTTCCACTAAAGAGACGGGATGAGTTACGCCATACACTGTTCCGAGTTTTACGGGAAGCCCGGAATCCATGTAGCGACGGCAACAAAAACTAAGAGAATAGCGAGGATAGCAACAGGAAGTTGCCAAAGAGTTGTGATCAGAGCCGATTCCAGACAAGGCAATTAACCGTCTTCGACGTGCTTGCCACACAGCTGGATTTTCTCTTTGCGCAAGGCTATTCACCTACAGATCTTGGAAGGCTATGCAGGCAGTCCGTTTACATGGCTGAGCTAGATGATCTCGGGGATACACTGCAGCAGGCCACATATACATTCCATGATTTACAGGAAGGCACGCGTGTCAGATTCAGCCGAGGCTTAAGGTCTGTACGGCGCATTCATTGGTCATAATAACCAGTGAAAGTGGCATTTTTGGTGCTGCTTTATGGTTGAATCGGCAAGTACCCTGGACAAGTTTTGTGACCTGTCATTTGATCAGAGCAACAGACAACATGGGGGCTGGACTTTACAGATCTTTTGCTTGTGTGATGTGCCAGGTGACGTGTCCGATGTCTCTGCTCCACTAAATGCCCGGCCGAGACCATTCAGGACACACAGAACAAAAATACTTTGCATATCAACCACAGCCTGCCCTTTTTGTTTTCCTTTTTTAAATGCTCTCATGCTTCCCCCCCTCCTGGTAAAAAACTCATGTACCAACAACAACTCAATTGGTAGCTGCCGGTTGAGAGCAGGACACTCTTCAGTAGTTATCGATAAAGGAGATTTCCCCATAACCTAGAACATCTCGGACGCATTTAGGCTAGATGTCCGATATTTGTCGTACATCGCGATGATTAAAGAAGGAAACATAGTCATCTCGCCGGCGTCAATCCCTCCATTTAACATCCGTTGAATCCTCCCGGGTAAGTCTTCTTCCAAGTCAACTCAATGGCTCGCTCTTCTTTCCGGTCCTCGGAAGATCACACAAGCCTCGGTTATAAAGAAGATACCCAAGGAAGACTCCACTGAAGTGTATTGATGGGGATAAGCGAGAGAGCAATGGAGCTCCTCGACAAAGAGGGAGAGGCTGACTTGTCGCGCCAGTATAAGATGGCTCTAGTGGTTGCTGCTCAGAAAAGCCATTCGGAAAATGCACTTCAAGCTGCTATCATAGGAGGAAGTACAAACGTTGTGGCATGGGTCCTTAGTCAAGGGGCAGACGTCAATGCAGAAGGGGGCTACTACGGAACTGCCCTTCATACTGCATCGATGCATGGTACGAAGGAGATTGTGA